TCTTAATATCATGAATATCATACAGCAAATGCTTGTAATCCCTTTTGACATTATCGAACATGGTGAGGCATTGCCATAACTTGGTTTTGGTATGATGTCGTACTTTGTTTTTAAAAATCTTTTCATCTTTAATAACCCGGAAGACCAATTTAACCAATCTTAATCTGACATGTCTAAATGATCCTCAGGGTATCAGTTATAAAGTTTTTATTTTTGAGATTTATGCACAAGCTACAATAATGTATATTTGTACTTGACACTAAAGAGCTATGACTGCTTGAAATTGAAGGATCTACAAAGAAATAAACTGGGCCATGACTTTTCCTCTTTGATTGAGTGATATCGAATGTTGGCTTTTTTTGTATATTTCTGCCTAAAAACCTAGTTTAGTATAGGTAAACAGGAACTTTAAACACCAAAAATTGGTCAGAAACAATAGATCTTCAATAGACTTTTCATAATTGTTTTTGCCTCTAGATGACGATTTGTGGCTAGTGTAAGTGCTTACATTGAATATTTTGATAATAACCATTTTCTTTTAAAGAGAACATTAGCTGAAAATATGATCACTATCTCGTCAAATACAATATTTAAGACATATGATTGTTATAAATTTTTGAGTGTTTTTGGTGGTATTCCCTTGAAACCCATAGTGCATGAATGTAAGAGTAAAACGTTTGACGCGCAATTCTGATTAGCAAGATAAAGTGTACAGACTAAGATGTCAAGTGATTCCGTACAGGAGTTATTGCCTTTGAATGACTACATTTAATTTGCATCATTGTTCCATGTGTAGAGAATTATGAACAGCAAATTTGATAGACTAGAGAGGTAATTGACATTTCACATCTCATTTGATAGATATATGTTACTTTTAACAGAAACCAAATAAGCCGATCCTTGAAATCCATAGAGTTCCATGTGAGCGCGATTCAGTCTACTTTAAAATCAGAAAATATGTGGTAAAATAAAAGGTAAATTAAGATTAATTCTATGCGACTGCAATACAGTGAGAGTTTACATGGTTAAGGTAGCTACAAAACCAGGTTTAATCCTCCATTTTCTACATACAGAAATGCCTGCACCACGTCAGGAATTTGACAGTTGTTTTCAATTTGTTTGGCGTGTGTGTGAGCTTTTGATTTTACCATTTGATAAAGGACTTTCCTTTTTGAATTTCCCTTGAAGTTCGGTATTTTTGTTATTTTCCTTTTTACATAAATCAAACCTTTGACCGTTGCTTCAATATCGTAGGAATAGCAAGGATATCCGATCAAAAGACCTTTGAGATTTATGGTTTATGTGTTGCACAAGCACAACTCCTAGAAGCTATCACCTGATCGTATCGATCAATTTAGGATAAATTATTATATAGAAATTTGAAATGAGTTTGATAATATATGTTGCAGTACAAAGGTTTGATAACAAAAACAAACATATTTAGAAGAAAACTCTGTACATAAACAGGGTACGTTTAAGGGGGATTTGGCTCATTGTCGCATGCGTATAATCTTTACGATACAGTGTACAAAATTGCCCTGAAAGTGTTGAAAGCAGCTGGAAAAATAAATAATCGTAGGAATAACTACAGGATTTAAAATTATAAGACAAAACGAATATAAAATTACAAAATTATGACTACATTGCAATATCATATAAATCTTCTGTTTTCTGTCCAATGAAATGATCGTATTTGTCTTCCTGGTCATCAACATTTCTTTTTTGGGTCGTTGAATCATAAACATCATCAACGGTATGACTATAAATGTTACCATCAGCCTCCTTGTGACGATTACATCTTGAAATATCATAGGTTCCTTCTTCGGATTGGCAATAAATGTCATCTTGTTCTGTTTTCAGTTTTTGTATGTTTTCGCTTGAACTTCTTGGGTAAGCAAGCGCATAAGATTCAGATGCTGTAAAACGTGTTTCATGTTGATCCAAACCTTTAGAGAGGTTTGTCGGGTTGGTCTTTTGTTTTAATCAATTAATAAACCTCGTATTTTCATTCATTTGCATGTTACACTGGTTATCGTTTGTCTCAATGCTTTCAACGTTTTTGTTATTTCTTTTGGAAGTACCACTGGTTAAAGATACACTTTGATTGGCAACATTATCACTATTGTCAAGACCGGTTTTCTGTTTTTCTTTAGGTTTTCTGCACAAAATTTGCCTGTAAGGTGAATATATTTCCTTTTTTTTTTGTATTTTCACCTGAAATATGCAGTGCATTTGCGTAACAACTATTTGATGGAACTCAAATATGATTTAAACCAATTGGCCTCTCAAATTCAAAAAAGGCATTTTGATATGTAGGGTGTATCAAACCGTGTTTGTTTGAATGTGTCTAATGTACAGTGCAACCATTTTTTTCTGCTATTATATGATAAATAAAATTTTGTTAACATTTATCTTTTTGTAGTATATTATGTACTCCACTAATTACTAATGATATAAGTAAAAACACAGTTTTACCACTTTAATAATAATCATTAATATTTATAAATTTTCAAATGCTTTATCGATTATTTTAAAACATAAAAATTCACCGGAAACTGTTTATCAAAATATAGGCAAGATAGATTTCTAACAGAATTTACACATTAAAAAGCTCAGTTGTGAACGGATATATGTAATGGAAGGAGGCCAGTCTTTGATTCAACTGACACATTTGCACTGAAAGTAACCAAAGCATATTGCCTTCTGACGGTACAAATAATTAATACACAAACACACACTAACAATACGAAAGCTACAACTATACCAACAATCAAACCTGTAATAGATTTCCATTTCATGTTTATAAGACTTAGTATTAAATTGTGATTGTTGATCATAGTAAATGAAATACGTTTAAATGCTATTTTGATTTTATTGGCATTATTACGAAGACGTCGGCTTATAGACACTTCATACGGTCAAATAATCTGGACAGCTCGTGGTAAGCATGTTAATTATATATAAATGAGTTAAACATCAATAAATTAGTTATACGTATTCGTGTCGTTAGGTTGTTGTCTCATTTAAATGTATACCCCATATGTTTGCTGCATTAAATTGATCAAGAATTTATAAGTGTATTATGTTCTCAATTGTTAATAAAAATTTGTCCTGACAACTTTGATTTAGCATTGCAAGATTATCGCAGACATGTTAATGTATTTTTTCTTGGCTGTAATAATGAGATATTATGTTTGTTGACAATATTTTGTAATTCAACCTTTCAATGTGTATTGATATATGTTTTCCCTGCTATTTTTTTTTTTAGCATAGGAAGGTTTTATGTTTAGTATTCGTGATTTAAAATGATGCTGATAAAATTAATGTTTGTAATACATATTTTTTAAATAAAGAAACATTAATTGTACAAATCTTAATGCACCAGGTGAATTCGAAAATATCAGTCGACAACTCTTTCCAACAGCTGTTAAAAAAATACTGAAAAAGGCACACATAATTCAGTATTACTCTTTTTTTTTGTCAAAATTCCTTCCTAAACAGGAAATCAATACCACATTATTACTTTGTATGACAGGATTAAATTGGAATGCATTTTGTGATTAACACTTGAACTAACAAACTAAAGTAAAATAGATAATATTTGTTACTCACTTGCATCCTTCAGAATAGTGTAGTTTGTCTAAAACATATATAAAGCCATTGAATAAATCTAAATATAAGTACCAAGTACTGAATTATACATTGCATATACTTACCTCTGTCTAGTGGAACATTTGTCTTCTGTGAATCGTCTGGTAAGATATTTGGTACTCACTCTAAAATCGTAAATACTTATAAATTGCACATATATGGTTTTAATCAAGCAACTGCTCTACACATATTATTCTCATTTTTATTTCTTTCAGTTGAAATTTAAGAGAGGCGGAAGAAGCTAAAAGGAATTACGATATCCAACCTCAAAAGTTGCAAGAAAGTCACTGAAAACGCCACGGCAAAAACCGATAAACGACGAAAAGACACACGACTATCTACAAAACACAACATAGAAAACTAAAGGCTGAGCATCACAAACTTAACCGAAAACCGTACGTGATCCCGTGTGTTCCGGAAAGGTAAGCAGATCCTGCTCATGTAAGTACAAATTATGCGATTAGTCTCATATTGTGATGACAAATTCCGACAACAGGGAGGTTACGACAATTTGAAAACAGATTTCCATAACGCTCAACCAACTAGTCATGGTAAACGTGCAAATTTAGTAGGGATGACTTTAAATATATATCATGAAAATTCGTATTACTCTTAGCTGGTTAAACGTATGCACGGTATTTGCTATGAACTTACATATTTATCTTTTCACCAAGAGATGTCCAAATCGCCATAATGCTGGTTTGTAGCAGTTGAAAACTACAATCCTTCGAGATTTTTTTCAGTTTTGGACACTGATTGCATAGATGCAAGGATGTAAACGAAAAATGAGTCTTCGGGTTATTTTACAATACTATAAATCTATGGAAACGTAACATATCAGAGACGTGAATTATAATTTGTTTTATTAAACTGTATAAAGCGGAAAGCTCTGAAAACTTGCTTGTAATGTTCTTTATGTATTTCATAAGAAGTCCTCAAAATGCCAGAACGATTTCATAAATTCTAAAGATAATCCATTGGATTAAATTTTGAGTAAACATGCAAATGGAAAGTTATATAGACGTTGCGTTTCTTTAAACACTCGGTATATATCTAAATACATTTACAAGGTAGCAAATGAATGAGAATAACGTAATTATGATTGATATTATGACACTAAATGTTAATTCACGAGAACTTGAAATCCCCTTAGAATTTTATTTTATTTGATATAATTTCTTTAGATGGAATTGAGTAATTTGAATACATGATGTTCCTTATATGCCACAAAACGTTTTGCACGAAAAGAATAAAATGACATCTTATGTGGAACCTTATATGTTTTATGCTCTTCCCAACTAGTTAAGATATGCAACTTTTATTATGAATATATTTTCTGATAATAACAATGATAATAACAATGAGCAAGGATCAGTTCTGTCTAATGACATGTATTGTTGTGGAAAATGTTAACATTAAAATCTTATAACTTTATATCTAATGTTGGAAATGAACCTTGTGTTTTGAAAGTATTTTCTGATTACATGTACATTTGTAGCTATGAATAGTGAAAATAAGTGCCAACGAATGGCATTTTCCTGTATCCTATGTAACTAAATAGCATATGCATTAGTTTCCCTTTTCGCGAAAAGACCTTTTTTTAAAAAACGTTCCATGATACATTAATATGATTGCCAAAAACACAATCATTGTATCTTACATATTGCAATGTAAAACCCGTATGTGAACACATCTGTTGAACTGAACACTAAAAAATGTTTGACTTTCTTCAACTACTACCAAATATGTATTTACAAAGTATCACCTGCTGTGTTAGAATATATACATTTTTTTTAAAATCAAACCGAAATTAAGCATGTTGAGGTCCAAGTACAAAATATCTATATATATATATATATATATCATATCTATTGCATGGGTTTATGTCCTTGTTGTGATTTCATAATCATCTTCTGTTTTTTTACCAAAGAAATGATCATATGTATCTTCTCTCCCTTCGTCATTTTTTTTGTGACTTCCAGAGTCATAAATTGTATCAACGGCATGGTTATAAATGTTATCCTCTAACTGTTTGTGACGATTACTTCCTGAATGGTCATATACTCCTTCCTCAGATAAAGCATATTGAACCTCATCGCCAATTTTCGTTTCCGCATTCATAACAGGCTTTGCAAACTCATAATCTGAAGGAGTGTTAGACAATTTTGTTCTATTGAAACCTGTGGCAGATGGATCTAATACCATATAACTGTCTGTAGTTCCTGTTCCGTCTTCTCTAGTCTCATTAAATCTTGTTTCAGCTGTCTGATCCACGATCGAATATTTATCGTCATTCAGAGTTTGATTGTCTGATAATGTTGTGTTCCGACGCACTGCATATGCAGTATTGCTATATTTGCCATCATTTTGCATATGGCTGGAATGATTAGCTGTTAGTGGTAAAGCTATATCTTGACTTCCAATGTAGTCATTTTCCCCGAGATTGTTTCCTTTTTTTTCTCTTGGTCTGCTCTTGGATGTATGCCTTTAATATACATTACGAATAGAAGCATTGTTTGTATTATGACTCAAATGAAGTATGTAAAAAAAGTCATCTCTGTATAATTTATCAACGTAAAAACATGCATAAAGAAAATATTGTTTTAGTTTTAATGGCTTTCTATTTTAAGATCATTTTTTGTAGTACAATAAAAATATGCAAACATTAGTTCCACGAGAAAACTTCACGCATACAAATTGAGTTCATATTTATTACTTAGAATCAAATACTAATTTCAAAGGATTTAGGAAATATCAAGAATATTACGTCGATCATTTCAATTTGATCAAGTAGAAATATTTAAAACCCTAAAAATTCAAATTTATATAAACATACCTTCTAATGAGAACAACAATCACAATTACAACACAAGCTAGTAATAAACCACCAATAACCAAGCCTACAACTAAATCTGCAAAATGTAAAAAAAAATATGACATAACCTTTACAGTTATCAATTGGCGGCAAAAGGGGAATAATCATATTTCAAAATTTTTTGTTAGCAGTGGAGGACAAATTTTGGATTGTCATGCTTTCTCAGCACTAGTTAGTTTATCAATTTTTTATGTATTTTGTTATCCAAATGAACAAATTAATTAAGCTTTGTTTTTGTAATGTCTGTGGTGAATGCATGCCAACTTAAACTATGGGGTAAAAGGTAGTCTTTTCGTCGTTGATTGTTTTTGTCATGGTGTTGCCAGTTTTCCTTCGACCTATGAGTTTTGAATGTCCCCTCTGTATCTTCCAGCTCTATTTTATATTAGATAATTTGAAGTCTCAGGTAAGACACAATAAGCGAAAAACAGCCTTTACCTGTTGTTGAAACACTTGTAACACTGGTATCACTTACTGTAAAGAAATTAATTGATATATTAATATATCGACTATAAAAATACTGCTATCATTGTCCCGAACATAACATTTGAGTATCATAAGATATATCCGCCTCAAAGGTGAAATGACTGTAGAGTTTTAATTTCCATGTTAAAGTATTTGAAATCTCAAGAACTTCTTACATTTGATTAATAATGGTGGAACATGAAAGAGTGCAACCGGTTAATAGCACTAAAGGTAACCCCGTTAATTGTTTTTTGTAAGCTTTAACGTTAAATTGTTTCTTTTTTCAATCTCATCAAACTTAACATTATTTCATTGAAGTACAAATTAAAAATGTTTAAAAACAGTATATTAAAATATATCCGGAGTGTCCTCCTGTTTCCTTTTATTTTTTCAGGAAGCAAAGCAATATTTTTGTTCTGTTTCTTAAACTAACGATTGGAATCGATTCCATTGTGATTGTTCAACTGAATGCTATTGGTGAAGAATAAGTCCATGGAAGAATAATGCTGAATCTATATGTGTGATAAACATTACAAATGGCGACAAGTAATAATTTATTGTGTCTATCGGTTGCAACATGGGAAAAGATGAAGGAAATGAATAATATTTTTACCTCTCCAGGACAGGGAACTTTCATGCATTTTACAATAAATTCTACGGGAGTTGTTTTTCTCAGCGTGAGTTTTAAAGTGCATTCTATAGAATTTATTTCTCACCTGCTAAATGTTAATCATGTTAATATGAAAAAAATATATATATGAATTTCATACTTTCATACTTGAATATGATAAAAAAACAAAAAAACAAAAAAAACAATGCATTTGAGAACTTAAACCATGAAATGTTTTTGCAAGGTTCACAGATGGACATGATGGACAGTTTTTTAAATAGGACAACATTGCAGTTTTAGAATAAATCGTCACGTATCTCGTTATTTGCCATTTCTATCATTGTTATTAACATATCATTTTAGCAAAGAGATAAGCCAAACATTTTTAAAAGAAAACAAAATTGTGTTATTTACTGCGACTACTTTAACAGTTACTATAGAAAAAATTTAATCCTTCAAACATGTACAGGTACAGACGACGTGATTTAAAAGTACCGTTATTCAAACAATTTTATTCTTTTTAATTCTTTAAATCAATTAATTGAAAATGTTCAATAGTAATCAAATGTACCAGGCTTATAATTTGATTCGCCAGACGCGCGTTTCGTCTACATAAGACTCATCAGTGACGCTCAGATCAAAATAGTTAGAAAGCCAAACAAATACAAAGTTGAAGAGCATTGAGGATCCAAAATTCCCAAAAAGTTGTGCCAAAACGGCTAAGGTAATCTATGCCTGGGATAAGAATACCCTAAGTATTTCGAATAATTCATTCTTTTTGAAAAGCAATTTTTTAAAATTATGAAACTTGCATATTTTGTTGATTGGAATAAATGAAAGATTAATATGCAGTAACTAAAGGAAACTGCAAATATAAGAAAGCTTAAACTGTCTGTTAACTAGGATTTATGTTTCCCATAACAATGTCGTATTTCGTCATGCAGCAACAATACCTTTACTACAGATTTTTAAAATGAAAGTTACAGAACAATTTGTTGTCAACTCTATTTAGTCAGACGAAATACTGGGATAAAAAATTCAGGTTCCCATGGTTTGTCAAAATCAAACAAATTTAATGGTGTATCTGAAATAATATGAGTGTTTTACTGAAAAGAGAATCAATTATTCTTATTCTTGTTGTGTTAAGAATTAAGACCTACTTGCACTTGATACTTCTCTTGATGTAGTAACTGATTCAACTGTAGTAGTTTCTGCAGCTGAAAACAAATACTTGATGAATATTTCATTAATGGTAGCCCTGCAAGATTACATAGACATGAATGTTAAAACGAAGTTATTATTGAGCTTTATATTTAGGCTGAAATAATTTCCGTTGCAATATGAAGTCTGTTTGTTAAGGGAAATACAACCTGCTACATGTACAAAATATGGAACTATCGAAACTTTGATAAACATTGCAATTGATGAATTCTGATAATAAGCAAGTATTTTTTGAGTCTCATCATGCTTTACTTCTTAGATTAGACTCACAATATTTTTGTTTTCGAATCTTATCGTTTAAATTGTAATTATTGAACTGAATGCCATGGAGTAACTAGTAGTTTATATAAGAGTCATGCAAAATAAAATTAAAAATATTGTGATACAGCTCACGAAAGACATTTGATTATATGTGTCAACTTGTTGAAATAATGGTGAATAGAATAAATATGATATTATGAAATTATTTTCTCTACAAATGAGTTCTATAAAATTTATACCTCAATTGATATGAGTTCATAGAAAAAAATTGATATGCACATTCGATGAAAAGAAAAAATTTCCAAGGGTATAATAAAATTTCACAAATCGAAGTAATATACCACAATTCTGATATAAAAGGAAACAACGAACAAAGAATTATCGAAACAGCAGTTTACAGTTTACAAAATGCTTCAAAGTGAACTATAGACTAAGCAACACGTACTTAACAAGTACCCGGCCGTGTCCACTTGTAATTGTAGTATTTGTATTTTTTTATCCATCTGATGAGTTAAGCCTCTTTCAACTGTTTTTTATAGTTCGTTCTTATGTTGTACTGTTACACCACTGTCCCTGGTTAGGGGGAGGGTTGGGATCTGCTAACATGTTTAACCCCGCCACATTCTGTATGTATGTGCCTGTCCCAAGTCAGGAGCCTGTAATTCAGTGGTTGTCGTTTGTTTATGTGTTACATAATTTGTTTTTCGTTCATTTTTTGTATATAAATTAGGCCGTTAGTTTTCTCGTTTGAATTGTTTTACATTGTCATTTCGGGGCCATTTTATAGCTCACTGTGCGGTATGGGCTTTTCTCATTGTTGAAGGTCGTACGGTGACCTATAGTTGTTAATTTCTGTGTCATTTGGTCTCTTGTGAAGAGTTGTCTCGTTGGCAATCATACCACATCTTCTTTTTTATATTAACGAAAGCAGGAATGATCCGATATGCTCTTAAACTGTAAGCAATTACTACTCCACTAATGACACTCGGCATGATGTTCGTTGCAAGTTAATAGTCGATGATGATATGCATCAGGTGATATCTAAATCAAGATAACGAGGACTGGGATGTGGCTTTGACAATTTGAACATATCGGTATTCTGTGGTAATAAAGATATTCCTTTCTGGTCAACCAAATCACAACAGCGTTTATACAAAAACGAATGACTTTAACTTAACCGTTTTGAGCATTTGGATCAGCAGCTTCGATGTAAGCAGCAGAACTTTATCTTTTTGGAAAAAATGATAGAAAACCCAACCTCTATATAATATAAATATATATATGTACTCAAAGTGAATGGTCTGCTTCAATTTTTCCACATATTATAAGGAATTTCACAACTGGAAATCTATTATCATCTGTTTTGTCGTAAAGTTGTGATCCTACCCGGTTCTCAATTTCAATCATAAGATATAAGCCAATATATGAAACAGGACTTAACTGTACATGTGGTATACTCTTTGTATTCGATAGGATAGTCCTATTCAAAATAGGCTATCATTTAGCTAGTGGGCATCATCTATTATATTACATCTACAGAAAATAAAGTTTAATTGTAAATGCAGGCTTCTTTTCGTTCTTCTTTTGAAGGTTACGCTGCAACTACTCTTCTTCTAGAAATGTTAAAGAATCGTCAAGCTAGAATATCTAAACTAAATACAGGGGTCATACAGGAGGTCAAAATCAACTGTTTCATACACCTTAACCAATAAAGTTATTAGATGAATAGAAGATCATTTTGTTACTTGTTGCCCTATGCGTTCAGTCCTACCTTCATCTGAACCTTTCGTTTTGGCAATAACTGAAGAAACTGTAGAAGTTCCCACAGCTGAAAAACACAATATGTTTATTTCACTCATTAATAAGTAAATCTCTATATGACTACAAAAATGTTTTATAAAAAGTAGAGTGCACACGCCAGCATGTCTTGCCAATATGATTAATTCAATAAAAGTAAATCTCTACATAACAACCAACAAATATATGAAAACTAGGATGCAAACGCCTACATGGTTTGCCTTCTTTACTGATAAGGTTTGAAGATATGTTGAAAATTGTTGCTTCATGCTTTTACTACACGTACTCCAAAACATGTCAGTATCAATGAACCATGAGAATGAGGTCAAGGTAAGACGGTAACATACATATAATAATCATTCCGTAAACCAAATGTAACTTATCTTTAACAATAAGTATCGAAGAAACGGTCTTAATCAGGAAAAATTGACACTGACCATTTATCCATGAGAAGAGATCAAAACAAGTTGAACCCTGTCGACAGGACGTATTAGCAAATGAGAAATTGATATACATATGGAATAATCACTAAACATTAACGTTGTTCAATTAACATTAAAATGAGGCCCAGGTCAGGTAATACTTCGAGACAGCAATAAACATGTGACAATTATTCCATTCACTGACCATATCTGACCTATTTGTGTCTTTGTCTGTTTGATATCTTCCGCCTTCTTTTGTTGATAGTAGAAACGGACATTGTTACAAAACTTTGACCAATTAACCATGCAAATGAGGTCTAGGTCAGATGAACCTTACCAGCCGGACATGTACATCTTGAAATGATTTGTAACACCAAAATAATTAACCTTTTACATATAGTTTCTGCGAAAGGCACTAAATTGCGAAAACTTTGCTTTGACTATTAAAAGATGAAAAAGAGATCAACCACGGATGAACCATGTTACTTGCACATAAACACTTTTTAATAATTTCGTGCATCAAATATAATTGACCTTTTGTGTATGGCTCTGAGAAACGGACTTAACCACGAAAGCTTAATCTTGACCCAAGAGTCATGAAAATTCAGATCAAGGTCATAAGACGTACATGTAAACTTAACAACTATTAATTCATACACAAAATAAGTTGATATATATCTGTACAAGGCCCTAACCATGAAATGTTACGGTGTTACCTTAATCTTAAATGTAATCAAGATCCGATGAACCCTGTCTTAATAACATGTATTACTGGTAGTTATTCTATAAACCAAATATAGTCCTACTATAACTTATACTAACTGATCACAAGCACAATTCAGTTTTTTTTAATCAATCGCAGAACCATGAATTTGAACCCCGGTATAACTGATGTAAGTCACACAACTACAGAGCGTAAATATGAAAAGTATCTAAGTTTTAACGTTCTTAGATATGTAGTCAATAAAAAATCGTTTACGCCGTTACAACTGGATTAGCATCCTTTTTTATCACAGTCAGCGACGTGCGAGATAAAAAAAAATGTTGTTATACTTTATGTACAATCTAAAACAGAATCGTATAAACATTAAAATGTCCAGTCTTGTTTTGATGTATATTCATCTATGAAACATTTGCATTGTGTTAGTATAGTAAAACATTACGCTTTCGGCCATTTTTTTTAGATTTATATTTAGTCCGTTTTCCGGCATTTCCGGAGAGTAACAACTTCAGTAGAGTATTAAACGAAAAAAAAACTATCGTACTTCTTAAAGCCTTATTATATTCCCCTTGTGCACATTAACACAATTATTATTTTATATTATCTGTGAGAAAATTACCTTCACATGTGTACTCGACCGAAAGCCAGTTTGATTGAAAACATCTTTGGTCTTCTTTGATTAATTTCGGGAGATGGAAGGTGCAAATGTCCGAATTGTTGATATCGTTACATAAAGTTGTAATTGATGTTTGGACATCTTGGTATACTGCTGAACAGTTGTCAAGCTCTCGATCGAAAACTAAAGATGTTTCGATATGTTGTAAATAATATTTTGAACATTCATGAAGCGATATAGATTCTTCAGTTTTCTGACATGTCTGTGAAGTTTTCATCAAACCTACAAATATCAAACCTTTCAATTTAGTAGTTTAACTTGCATACAACATTAAACAATTATTCAAATAATAATAATAATAATATTAAGAACAATAATAATAATAATAATAATAATAGTAGTAATAGTAATAATAATAATAATTAAAATAATAATAATAATAATAATAATGATAATAATAATAATAATAAAATGATAATAATAATAATAATTAATCTACAGATAATTATAATCAAAATAATATAACTAATGATTAATTGGTTCTATCATATTATAGTAATAATATGAATGCACTGTGCTTTAGTTTTGCACTTAAACTATTATTATTCCTACCTGTTGCCACATTACCAAGGGAAATATCTGACTAAACTTTTTATTAAGATATAAACTCATTATACACATGTAAGTACACAACTTGTACTCGTCCCGTACAAAATTAACACCACAATAAAAAAGAACTCACAAGTGAACATCAGATAAAAAAACATGACATAATACTTATTACATACATTTAAAAATCTCATGATCAATAATACCACAAAACAATTGTTGGCATGTATTGACAATTAAGCGTTTTATGAGTATAATTTATATAAAGTGTACTGAATATGTGAGCACTCGTGGTTTAGTGGTATATGACGCATAGACTGACATCTGTGAGGTTTATAAAAAAGTACGTGCAAGCTCGATTCGTTTTAAATATGAAACTCGTTTTTGAAAGGTAAAAATCTTGTAAGTTAAAAATTACAAATTAGATTACAAGTTAACATATTAAGTTAACACAGAGATCAGTTGACTCTTGAAAAATAATCTACAGTTAGAACAGTATACTGACGTCAAACAAATGGGTTAATGCCTAAACCCGAACAGAAAATGAAAAACATGACGTATAGAAAGTTGAGGGTGTTGTGAGTTGTTTTGTTGAATTGATATATATAATTTGTTGAAGTAATATTGTATTGCGTATTTCAAAATCATATGCATATATATTGCTGTTGTAGCTGCTTTATTGAAGGTTAAGAATAAAGTGATCAAATCTCGGTTATCGTCCAGCTTTCGATATTGAATGATCCCGGTCCTCCTTGGTACGTCAGGTCCCAGGTATTATATTAAAAAGGTAACATATCAAAATACTTAAGGTGGTACCAAACATCTTGACTAAAACTAATTTGGCTCGTTTAATTTATATAAAATTTTGACAAAACATTTACTTTGACCTTTTGACAAAAATATAAAAATTTCAAAAAAGTTGAACCACACACTTTATCGGAAATATATCATTGGATATATTGCAGTTTGACAAACACTAATTTTGATTATTGAGAAGCTTAATGTTTCCTTAACAATAGAACGTGATTAAAACGTGCAGCTGATTTTTTAAAAGTTATCTCCCTTAACCCTTAACTTTAATAAAGATTATCTTCACCCTGACTAATCTGTTAGGCCGAAAAAATACACGGCTTATGATATTACTTAAATGAAATTTTGATTCCTAATTCTGATTAAATCCAAATATAACGACCGTGTTATAAATGCTTCCTTCGGTGTCTTAATATTGACAGCCATTTTTTTCTGGGCCGTAGCTTTTTTTAGCCAGGGTGATATATGTTCCTAGCTAAGCTGCCAAATCCCGAAGAAAATACCCAACTTAAATATTGTAGTTTAATAAAAAGATTTCATCACGAACCAAGATTTTGAAGAAGTTCATACCATGTACTGCGATCTTTATGAACTTCGGTCTTGTCTGTTAAACAACGGACGTTTAAATTAATAGACTTGTTCTCTTTTCTACTTTCACTTGATTCAGTTTAATTGAACTGAAATAAGGAACCTTAGTAAATCACTAAGAAACAACAAATGTTTGGTATCTCTCATAGGTAAATTTGGAACTTATATTTCTTTTATTCCGTATATTATAAATATTCCTTTAAGGTCCCTTATGGTACTTTTAAGGAAACAAACGTTACCTCCCAAAAACTTTTTTTTAAAACATTTCTTCTTTTAAAAGAACTGTGATGTTGAACTAAAAAATCAATAGACTTCTTCCTCTTTTCCATATATTCTTAGTGTATACATTGTCTGTCAGCAAGAAAGGGAACCATCTTGAAACTGTTTGTTTCGGAAACACTAACGTGACGACGGATAAACATGTCAAATTGGTTTTGAAAAAAATTACGTTTTCTTCAGACTTCCTAAGTTAGATTTTAAAAATATTGTATTCAAATTCCTATTTCTTCCCAATGAAAGATCCAAGTGAATGTTACTGTTGTAATTATTCTATTTATATTACAAGACCAAATTGCATTATGGGATTTCACATCTTTATACAATTCCTGGTAGACCAGCAAGCCCTTAAGGCATGTTAAAAATAATTCAACAGTGGACGATCTTCATGTCCACGGATGGAACATTCAGCACAGTAATCAAGATCTTTTACCCCTCGAACACTTTCTTGATTATTTTCCCTTTAAATGGTGCTGCATAAAGGACTACATAATCAATTAAGTAAACTGTGAACATGTGCTAACTTGAGATGACCGTTACATGATATTCTGTAAACAGAAAATGTTTGGGCAATGCATGTGTAAACGCAATACACGGTTAAGTATTCGCACATGAAGCTTGATACCAAAATGAAGAAATTTTCATTCGAATGTCTTAAGAAACATCTGACAAACGTTTCTTACAAAACCGTAGTATTAGGTAACCAGAAAGCTGATTAGCAACGAATGTTACAATATATCACACGATAGAGCATGCTGGCATAAGGCATGCTCCAAAATTTCAGACAGCTTTATATTTAGTTCTTAGCAACAACACAACGACAACTGTACACATGGCCATTATATATTTTAAAATATAAGTACGAGATTGAGAGTTAAATGAGAAAGCGAAAAACAAGATACTACATGATCATATGAAGAAAATATCGGGAAGCTCTGATTTTTCTTCCAGAAAAAACAATGACGAAAATGTCAGGGAAAGGGCGACAC